CTCTGGAGTGGACCAACAACACAAAAATGTCTTGGAACAGAGGAAGTTGCTGACTTATTTTTGAAATAATTGCCTTTCTGGAGGAAATGAGGAAGTGCCTTAAAGGTTGCTGAGAGATCTGGACTTGTTTAGAAGATTGGAAGATGTCATCAGGGAACTTGTAATAAATGATCTCTTAGGGAAGAATCTGTGGCTTTGGGCTCTTTGAAGACCTCAGTAGGTAAAAAATATTTTTCTATAAACTATACTCTTTTTTCTGATATTAGAGAGCAAGTCACTTCTTCATGGGAAGAATATATAATTTTAGTGAGATAGTATGTCACATAGAATTATTGTCACTCTCTAGCTTTGGATCTTGGACAAGAAACTATCATTCTTCAGATTTTAGGTTCTCATCTGAAAAGTGAGGCCAAGTACAAAAGATGCAAGGCCTTAACAGTGGATCAGTGTTTGCCCTCTGCTCTCTCCCTTTCTCTTCTGTTTCTCTCTGTTCATCTCCATTCACACCCTTATTCCTTTTGTGCTTGGAAAATCCAGAAAGAAGTGCACATCTCCATTTGAATGGGAAAGTGGGGCTCTGGATCTGGAGGTCACACCAGATGACTTGGATCTCCACTAATCCTTGATAGCTTTTTCCTAAGGAAGCATTAAGAGAAATAGTCAACTGCCTGATATGTAAATACATTTAGAGCTTACTGTTTACTGTCAATTTCAAACTGAATATACACAAAAGCATGACCTAGAAACAAACAGAGCAAAGCTATGTGGCATTTAGATGCATATTACATATGCATAATTGATTCCTTAAAAGGTTAAATATGCTTGGCATATGTAGGGATAGTGATATACCCATGATGAGTTCCTAATCATTATGGCAATAGCTTTGTTTTACATAATTCCAAAGTAAATGTCTTGGTTCTTCTTTGGGGCTCCCAGGACTAGTATTCAGAATAGCATATGTTCCCAAGTAGATGGCTGGGTTCGCAAACAGAATGGCCATTCACGTAATTCATACACTAAGCTTTTTGAAGCACAGACTGGCACTAAATTCTCTTCGGAATTGAAATGCAATTAACATATCGAGGACAAGTGCTAAGTATAAACAGAAAAGGCCAAAGATGTGTTGCTAGTTTTTTTTTTTTTTAGTTTTGTTTTCTTCAGTGTATTTGCAGGAAGAATTAACTACCTCAAACAAGCTGTAATCCTTAATTGAAAACACAGATCAGGCAATGTGGCAAATCCTTCAGCATTTTCCCCCCAGAAACTTTAGCTCTGAAGGACTGTTTTCTCTATGTCCATAACTAATCATAGAGATACTAAGGAAATTAAAAGAAGTAAGTCATTATGAAATATGCAGAATGAAATACCATTATATGCCCTTAAATATCAGGAATAAAGGCAATATGTTGTATGAAGAGATATAAGGGTTTTAAAAAACTATATAAATGAGTGATTATTATAAAACTTCAATTTATGAGTTTTTTCTTTGAGAAAAGAAAGAAATGATGCATACCATGGTTTTCACTGGATAAATAATCTTCAAGTGTTTACTGTTGTTTTAAAGGATTATTATGCAATCATTTTTCTATGGTAGGCATGTTTCCTATTTTGTCAAAAGGAGAAAATGTAAAATAAAAAAAATGAAGTGATGAGAAAGCACAAATTAAGTTGGTAAAAATAAAACAGTGTAATATAGTAGTAATAATAAAAGTGACTATATTAATCTTAAGTTGAATGCTTTTCCATATTGTGGTTTATTTACATGTACACCATGTTTAAAACACAACTAGAACATAATTCCTACAAGGTCTGAAAGTAGAAAGGAAAAGGTGTACCAGACAATATGAATAGAAAGCTGTAGCTACTTATAAGTAGTGAGAAAATTGGACTTTGGGACAACATGTGAGATTTATCTATGTCTAGTTCTTGTTTCCCCATTGATCCTCTGGACTTACTCCTTCTGGGCATCCACTCCTAATATTCCAGGACTTTCATTAGCCATCTTCATCTGCTTCTGTCTTACTCCAAGCTAACTATTTCCAAGGCCTAGGGTGTTTAATCTCTCAACTCCGATGGTACTCATTGGTACTCACCATCTGTGTAGTACTGGTGTGGTACTTGTCAGCTGCATTTTAGTGTCATTTACATTCATGCAAACTTCTAACTAAATTATACCTTAGAGATGGTGACCTCTCCTTGCCCTCCTTTAAACACCGTATCACCTCCCATGGTCTACCATATCATGGATTTTCACACTGTCATATGATACAACATCAATAAACATGTCCATGTCTGACTAAAAAAGAATGGCTTCTGGAGCACATTGAAATTCTTTCACGATATTTGAGTACTTTGGCAATACTACATAATTATATTTTCAAAGCAATCTTTCAGCCATAATTTAAAAATGTTAGGGAATGATACATTCTATATGACCTAAAATTGTACAATTTGTTGAAGTTGAGATCACAGCCCCAGCAGGAGGCTGGCCCCATCTGAGCCTAGCCAGAAATCCCCACAGCTTCACTACTATGGGAACTTTAAGGATAGGGACCACATCTAATAAACTTTTTCACATGTACCTGGGCCAAAGTCTAACATGTAACACACAGTCAATAAATGATTATGCAAAGTGTGAAAAAATTAGCTATTAATCTGAGGTTATTCAATTCACTCCCATGGTTTCAAATCAGCGTACACTTGATGTTTCCAAGTGTAGGCCTTTGGCTCTGGCCTTCAGAAGGAGAGAGTTACTGAGAGGCTAGAAGGCTCAGCTCAATGAGGCAGGAAGTACATATTGGCACTATGATTATTACTCCGGGGTTAGGAGCTGATTGGCGCAGGGCTGCATAGAATGAATTTGTTTCTGCCAGCTGACAGTAGACTATGTTTGGAAACAAACAACAGAAGTTTAAAAGGAGACAGGAAAACCCATATGATAGGTTTTTCAGTGCTCTCTTGCTGGCTGTTTCCTGTTGCAAACGTGTTTCAGACTGACTGGTTTTTGAGTTGGCAATATATAAAGCATATAGCATAAAACTGTGAGGGCTCACAGTTGGGTATTTAGTAAAAATAGGTGTCCCTCTCACCTCTGCCCATGTTGCTTCTCTCCAAAGGCAGTTATCAGTTCTTCTGTTTATTTTTAGGTAGACATAAACATTTCATAGTTGGTGAATGCATCGGCTGCCTTTTCATTACTACAATGAAATACCTGAAGCAGCTGAATTTACAGACACAAAGTTTATTTAGCTCACAGTTTCAAAGGTACAAGTAGAAGATTGGACAGTTCCATTGGTTTGGCCTCTGTGAGGCTGATGTATGGCAGTGGTGGAGTTCATTCAGAGGATGAAACACGTGGTGAGCTGGGAAGATCGATAGATAGAGTTAGAGAGAGAGAGAGAGAGAAACTTCCAACTTAGGCTTTTATAATAACCCTCTTGTAAGAACTCAAGAGGTCACATTGAGAACTACTTTCTGAGGGCGTGTTCCCAAAGATCTAAGGATCTTCCACTAGGCCTGCCTCCTAAATGCCATAATTGGATTAAGTTTCTACCTTCTTGAGACCAAAAACTTATGACTTTAGAATTTAAAGTCCTGCATGAATTCAGGAGCAAAATCACATCAAATGATAGCATTATACCTGGTTTTATCTATTTACGTGTATTTCATACAAATAGCTCCTTTAGTAGCATACTACATTGAACTTGATTTTCTTTTTTGTTTATCAGCCTATGTTGTTGTTCTTTCTATTTTTATCCTTAAATCCACACCCCTAACACTTTGGGTATGCTGATAGGTTCCTACATTTGTGTTGTTTGTGAATGAATGAGTAATTTAATAATAATATCTAAATAATACTGTACCTAAAACTCACTCATCCACAAGATTACAAATGCCTTATCTTAAAATACATCTCATTCCTGCATTTTTTTTCACATAAATGTCTTCTATACCATTCAAAGTAATATCAGGAAGAAACAAATTATCCTGCAGAAGGTTTCCTTGAATGTCCCCAAGGAGTTATTCATAAACATTCAATAATTATCTATTATTTTAATTGTGTTCTAATTCTTATTTATTAATAACAACCATCAAGCTGTGAATAAGATTCTTAATAATAATTTTGAATACTTATATATGCCATATACTTTGCTAAGCACAGTATTGTCTTATTCACCTCTACATCACATCTATAAAGTAAGTAACATTATTCTTGTAGCATACCTGCCAATATCACCTTGAAATCATGTGCAGAGGATTTCTTTACATAACATCGTCTTCTGGAATGTTGCAGGCTGAATGATATCTTCAGAGCGTGGTTAGCCCAAGTGGGTAGGTCAGAAATGCCAAAATATTGCCACCCTGAGTGACCTTTCCTAATGGGATATGGAAATTGGTGGATAAATAGTTCTGTATTCTTTCTCTTTCATGGCCATGTTGAGTTGCATTCTCATACTCACTTCTTAGATCAGCAGTGACAAGGTCGCATTGCCACTGCAGTAAACTCACCCTATTACCTTTCCTCCTTTAATTTTCTCAATTCCCTACATGTGTACTTTCTGAAATTTTTCCCCAATAAACTACTTACACTCAAATTCTAGGCACAGGATCTGCTTTTAGGGAAAGAAAATATGAGGAAACAGTAACTTCAAGTTCACCTATGTATTTTGTAGCAGATTTGAGTTAGAAACCAGAAGTTTTGGTCAAAAGCATCATCCTTTTACTGCCAAGTAGATTGCAAGGACCTCAAAGCTGTCCAGTGAATACTCTGTTTCAGTGACAGTGTGTTTTTCAAAATGCAAGCCAAGGTCAGAGCTTGATCCTTACTGTTCACACCCATGCCAGTTTAGGTTTTGGAGTGTATCTCTTTTCTTCTGCAGAACATCAGAATATCCATGTTAGACCTTGTAACCTAAACACATATGCTTTAATCTGATACAAAGTGCTGACTTCAGTAAGAACTTTACTTTGCTGAATAGCTTCTCCTTGTTTTTCTACAGATAGCAACTTCATCCTTGCCAATGCTCAGGTGGCTAAAGGTTTCCCCATTGTCTACTGTTCTGATGGCTTCTGTGAGCTTGCTGGATTTGCCCGAACTGAAGTCATGCAGAAGAGTTGCAGCTGCAAGTTCTTATTTGGAGTTGAAACCAATGAACAACTGATGCTTCAAATAGAAAAGTCACTGGAGGAAAAATCAGAATTCAAAGGAGAAATTATATTCTATAAGAAGAACGGTGAGTTGGGTTTTTTTTTGCTACTCCTTGGAGAGTTGTGAGAAGTCACCTTCTTTCAACTCAGTAATTGCTCCATAATTTCCATTAATGTTTAATGGCATTTCATATAAATACAGTCTGTTATAGAAGTTCCACAAATGACTTGGATGATGGCCTTGTTTCAGCCATTAGCCATCTAAATCTCCTGGGAATTTAGCCTTAGAATTATAACTATTCTTTGCCAATATCCAGAGTCAATATATGTTAAAAGTGTATTACTATTATATTACATTCACTCTTAAAATATATATTGTATGTAATAGTTGCTAATATATTAACACATGATCTTTTATATAAATTTTTAGAAATGTTGATGCCTTTAAGGACCACATCTCGATTGCAGCCATTAAAGGCAGTAATGTTAGTGTCCTCTGCCAGAAAAGGAAGTTAATTTAAAGGACATCAGCATATCCATTTCTTTTTCCTGTTCCCTGGATACAGAGCCTTTCTCACTATTCTGTTACATTCTAAAGACAAAACAAGAGACACATGATCTCACAGGGTGGAGTAAATTTACCTGTACTCAAAACTGACCCTGAAGAAATACTAAGATTTTTTTTTTTTATGATGTGTAGATGCAGTTTTATCTCTCTGCTCTAAATGTTTTGAAACATGCAGAGTACCTGTGGTGCTTGGATCCTGTGTAGGAAAAGACAGAAATAATCTCAGAAGCAGTATATGAGAGAAATGCTAAATCAAACTTTAGAACCACTATTTTCCTAGTATCTAGAATTCCCCCTTTTTCTCTCATAGCTTTGCCTTTCCTCTTGCTAGCATAACCTGCTGAGTTTTAGCTGGATGCTTGGTCACTGAGTTAGAGAATAATTAACTCTCCCAGGCTTCTTTAGTAGTTAGATCATGGATGTGACTATGTTTCAGGCCAATGATGTATGAGAAGGAATGATTTATGCAACTTCTAGGTAAAAGCTATGAAAGTGGAATAGTTACTCTCTAATTTCTCTTCTTCCTATTTCCCATAATGTTGTGAATAGAATTGTGTCCTGCCAAAATTCATACATTGAAGCCAGAACCCTCATTGAGATTGCATTTTGAAATAGGTCCTTTAAGGAGGTCATTAAAGCTAATTGAGATCAAACGTGTGGGGCCCTTAATCTTGAGGAACTGGCACCAAAAGAGGAAAGACCACATAAAGAAGGTAGTGATCAATGAACCAAGAAGAGAGGCCCCAGCAGAAACCAGACATGTCAGCATAAGACTTCTAGCCTCAAGAACTGTGAAAAAAATAAATATGTTGTAACTCAGTCTGTAGTGTTTTGTTATGGCAGCCCAAGCAAACTAATACCCATGGGGCAGAAAGTTGAGAAAAGGCTGCACAGCCGGATTCAGCTCTCAGGCAAAGCAGAACAGCATAGTGTAGCACAGAGGGAGGAGATAGAAGGAGCCTGGATGTTGTTGCAGATCCACTTTCCATCCTCAGTCAGAACCAAATACATTGCTGTCTTGTTTGGCTCACTATCATGAGGGTGTTTTCTATGGAAGAGTATTCAAGCAGCACTGTATCTCTAGATTTCTCAATCTTGTCACTGTTGAGGTTTTGGGTCTGTAATTTGTATCTTACTCTGAATACTTTGGCCAATGTCAGATAGAGAAGAAGGAGCCTACATAGGAAGTCACATCCCCTTTTGTAAATTGCTTGTCCTTGGAGGACATTCCCTGCTCTTGTGGGTACTGGAGATTGGGCAGTCATGGATATTGGAGAACAGGATACCGCAGCTCTTTGGCTCCGGGAGCAGAGTTCAGACCATTGTTCTTTCCAGTGTCATTATATGGGGTCTATTCATATAGATGATAAAATAAAAGAGCTCCGGTTCAGGTCTACGTAATTGTGAGATAATGGTTGCAAAGAGGGCTTGAGATAAAAGGGAGGATATTGCTGAGGGTGCAGACTGGCAGGGGGTGATAAAAACCTGCAGTGGGGAAACAAAGGGGACAAATATCCTTTGTCTGAGATGTCTGCTGACTGCAGGATCTTCCTTCTTCGATGAGTCCTTGGGGATGTACCTCCATATGTATTTCAGTGTCTTCCTTGTGAAGCTTCTTTAAAGCATCCAAATGTGGAACCAATGAGAAAGGGCCGGGCCGCAGTGGAGAATCTAGATGTGACAAAGAAAGAATGGGGACTCTGGAGGCTCAACAGGTAGGACGTATGGAGATCAACACCCAGCAGCATTTCAGGCATTCATAAGATGCCTAAGCCTCAGACATACCTGGATGGAAACCACTAAGAGCACCAGCCGCTTTGGGCCAGTCACCATGGGGAATTGGCTGATACTCAGAATATAAGTAATTGATCCAGTTGCAAATGACTGAAAATTGTCCTTTGTCCTACAATAGTCATGCATCGTTATAGCTATTTCTATGAATGGCTATCTGTCTCTACACACAGTTGGGAGACCTTGAAGATACAGGTTCTGGGTTATTTATCTCCACATTCCCAGTTCCTGGAGCCTTGAACCTTTAGCAGTGTTGTAAGATGGTGGTTTCTTTGTAAATACTTGCCGAAGGGAATTGAACTTGATTATTCGGGGAGGGGCTGATGGATATTTTACAGGATAGAATGTCTGGATTTCTGATTTTTTTTAAACAAGTGCACAAGACTTAAAGGGTCCTCCTTCTCTCCAATGGATTATTTCTGTTAATATGCTTTACAAAGTGGATATCTGTCTCTCATCTGGAACAAATAGCTTTAGATATTCTGTGATTAGCTCCTTCGCCTACTAACTCCTTAATGTTGCTATTTTTCTTCTTATGGAAAAAGTGATGTGAAAAAGGCTGACCTTTCCATTCCTTCCTAGTGCTTTAATTCCAAGAACCTAACTCAAGGCTGCTTATGAGGAGTGAAGTACACTAAAAGTTTAGGACACCTAATGGGACTTAGCATAAAGAAAAATACTCTGATCAGAATGGCAAGTGTGCCTGCTGAAAATAAAACGGCTCCACTGGCATTGCCTCCCTAGAAGAATCACAGTCAATACCCTTGATTTAAGTCTTGAGTTTTACCCTCCTTTACTCTTTAGTTTTTTTAAAGATTTATTTATTTATTTGAAAGTCAGAGTTACGCAGAGAAAGGAGGGGCAGAGAAAGAGAGAGAGAGAAAGAGAGAGAGAGAGAGAGAGAGAGAGAGAGGTCTTCCCTCCGCTGGTTCACTCCCCAATTGGCTGCTATGGCTGGAGCTGCGCTGATCCGAAGCCAGGAGCCAGGAGCTTCTTCCATGTCTCCCACATGGGTGCAGGGGCCGAAGGACTTGGGCCATCCTCTACTGCTTTCCCAGGCCATAGTAGAGAGCTGGATTAGAAGTAGAACAGCTGGGTCTTGAATCAGTGCCCATATGGTATGCTGGCGCTCCAGGCCAGGGCGTTAACTCACTGCACCACAGCACCAGCCCCACCTCTTTACTCAACCTTAAAGATATTCATACTTCAGTGATTGAATACTTGCCTCATCTTTAGAAATATCTTATTCTCTGTCCACTCGAGCTGTTCTCTCTTGAACAGGATAATGCACACAGCACAACCTTCTCTGTCAGTTCTCATTTCAAAATATAGAGTTGTTGAGCCAAAATGAACCCACAAAAAGATTTGGGAGAAGAGTGCGGACTACCTTCTCCCTGTGATATTCTGGTTTCCTTTGTGCAACAAATAGAAAAATAGAGTTATACACATACATTGGCACCTTACACACATATCAGTATTGTGTGGAAGCAACTAAATGCTTTTGCCCAGTGGTGGCTGTCTTCCAGTAAATCTTTATTTACAAAAATAGGAGTGTGTTAAATTTGGCCCACAGATCATTATTTATTTATATGCTTGGTATAGAACATTTTGGGACAAATCTTTCCCTGCACATCAAGTGCCTTTAGAATTTAGCTTTAAATTCTTATTTTGGGAAGTTTTCTTGAATTTAAATATGATTACTCTTCCATTCCACTGTTTGGTTTTAGTCTTTATGATCACCTATTGTATGTATGTTGGACCTTCTTTATTTGTTCTCTATGTATCACTTTATTTTAATTTTAATTTTTTTTCTTTTTCCATTTCCTGTCTGAATTTGTTTAGAGAACAAGGTAACTGAAGTTCATTTGAAAACTTCTTATTTCTCTATAGCCCTAACACTCTTGCCATTACTGAAAGAGTGCTTTTTAAAAATAACTTCTCTGTACAGCTGTATCTTTGTTATTTCCTGAGATAGGTTTCTTTATCTTCATGTGGGCCTCTCTCTCGTTAGTATTTGAAACATTTCCTTACTTTCCCCTGATCTTCCTAATTTTAAGTATGGTTCTGTTTCCAGATGTTTGCCTTAAAACTTGAGTTGTATCCTTTCATGACAGAATTCCTTTTGAATTTTCATTTTTTACTTTTCTGTAGTCCCTTTTAGAGTTATTTTCAAATTGAGGAGTGTGAAATTCCCTTCCAGTTTTGCTTCTTGGTGTATCTATGAGATCTTTCACTACAAAAGAGTTTGTTCTTTGAGGAGTAGGTCTTGTTGATGATTTATAAGGTCCCAAGCTCCTAGGGATATGATAAGTCCCCTTTTCCTGCACAGTCACTGTTCATACAAGAGTTTAGTTGCTTACATGGTTTTTCCTATTATGCTGTATTCTAAGATTTATGGAGATACATTTTCTGTTTTGAAGATTTTTGATTTTGCTCTTTCAATTATATCAATATTGTGAAAGTATTGGGGATGTTTCAAAAACCAAGAATTTTCTACCATTGTTGAATTTCATGTAGTATTTTAAATAACATCTTTAATGATTTATTTATTTTTTAGAAAGTCAGACGAGAGAGAGAGAGAGATTGAGAGAGAGAGAGAGTAAGAGAGAGAGAGAAAATGAGAATCTTCTATCCACAGGTTCATGACCCAGATGGATACAGTAGCCAGGGCTGAGCCAGGCCAAAGCCAGGAGCCAGGAGCTTCATCCAGTTCTCCCATGTGTATGC